TTCTGGGGAGCGTAACCCCTGTTCTCAGCCCTCAGGACTGGTAGAGGGAGGGTCCTAAGCCTCAGTTACCTTATTTCCATATCTCAAGGCAAAAGTCCAGGAAGCCCCTCAGATTCACAGTGTGTAACTATCAACACCCAGGGGTGCCTTTGGGCTGGCATCCCCAGGGTGTTCAAGCACTTGGCTGTAGATGCAGCCTCTTTGTGTTGTTAAGACCTGCAGGGGTATCTGGAAGACTAGCTTGTGAAAAGGCAGTGTCAATCAGCGGATATGGCCCTGGAGTGGGAGTGAGTAGACTTCGGTTCCATACCATACTCTGCCATTCACCTGCTCCCTTGGGCAAATCACTTCACATCTGCTTTAGTTTGGGGTAATGCTACTTGCCTGTCAATGTAAGGCACTTATAGAGCTCAAAGTGAAATGTTCTACATACACCTTTACCCTGCTTATCCATACTCTAATGGCAGTGGTGTCCATGCCCTGGGGGAGACTTGATCTCTCTGCAGATCTGAGACAGACAAATCCACCATGGTCCCAACTTGGGCTTGACCTTCCTGGGAGTCACCGTAGATTCTGGAAAGGCTCTAGTTGCCTTCCTCTAGGATGTCATCCAGGCCAGTGAGCTAGCCACACGCAGGGTAGGTGGTCCGGTGTAAGATCTGAGTCCTAGGCCTGGCAGCCTGCACAACCCCCCTTTCCCAGTGTCATGGCTGCAGGGTGACAGCCTGGTGTGCCCACCAAGCACTCACCGCGTGGACGTGATCGTTCCCCTTCAGTGTCTTGGAGGCTCTCGACTCTAGTGGATGCTGCCACAGAACATCTTGCAGAAGCGTCCGGCTCGTCAGGTGATGAGGAGGATACTTCCAGTCTAGCCTGAGAGCACTTCAACCCACCATTGCCAATGACATGAGTCCTGAAGCATTGCTCATCATGAGCAGTCACTCAGACTCTGGGGCTTGTCTTGTATCTGCAGGTGGGGTCACCAGGAGGTGAACTTGTTTGCTACACATCAGAACAAGCATCCCAAGACCCACCTGAGAGCAGGCAGTGATCCCCAGTGTGGATTGGATCCCTTTTATGCTAGCTTAAACTTTCCTGTTTCCTCTCCTTCCCAAATATCGAGTAAGACTTGTCAGGACAGAGCCAGAGTGATTCACTGCCCCAGCATGGGTGCAGCAGAAGTGGCTTTCCATTGTCAGAGCTTATGGCTCTGTCCAAATGCCATCCATTCGCTCCTCCCTCTTCCTCAAGTCAACATTTCTTATCCCAGCTGGGTAGTGCATCCAGACCTTGCAGCCTGTTGGGTCTCTGAGGTCAGGGGGACCTGTGCTTATCTCAGGAGATCAGGGGAGTGCTGTTAGATTCCAGAAAGCCGCCCGTTAGGAAAGTACCAAATGGAGCTAGATGCTCAAGGTCAAGGCCTTGACTTTGTCTGTTTCAGACTTCTCCTCTCTCCTCTGCAGTTGCCAGGGTTAGCTTTGACAACACAAAAAGCTTCCTTGGTTGCTATTCCTGCCTCCTTTGTTTCTGTGAAAGAGACCTCCCAGTTTGCCCCTCCCCTAGTGAAACCATTAGATGTTCTTGCAAACTTTACCCTTCACTCGGGAGCCAGTTGTTCCATGGGGCATGAATGTGGGGTTATCCAAATGGCCTTGGGCATCTCCCTGTCTGTGCCCCTCACGCTGAAGGGTTTGGAGCTGAAATGCTTGCTGACCAATTCCCCTCCTCTGACATCCCCCAAAGACAGGGTAGTGGTTGGGCCTCATCCCAACTTCGGACAAACTGTGTTGGACTTTCATTATGGCCTTTGATTTTGGTCAGTCGCTGCTGCATGTCTTCCCCCAAAGCCAGCCTTGGGCTGGGGGGTGTGGCAATTTGTGCACCTTGAGGGTTAAGAGCTGGTAGCTACTGCTCAGAACTATGCAGTGTGGAAAGTCAAACCAGTTTGATCTGTGGCCTCTGGAGAAAAATCTGAGTCAAACTATGTTGTCCCGAAGGCGAAGTGGGTAAGAGTCTGCGTCTATTCCTGTGACAGGCCATCTTGAGATGACTTGCTTAGCATGATGGCAGCTCATCAGGTGTTTTCTGAAATTTAACAGGGGCTGCTGTCAAATGCTGCAGCAAAGTGGATGCTGCTTTCTGGGGCTGAGGTTTGGTCACTTTTCACCTGGCAGGGCTTCTCGACCCCTCTCAGCAGAGGTCACTGCTGGCTGCTCTCCTGCAGTGGGGATCTGAGAGAGCCATTGCTGGGAAGGAAGGGATCAGCACAGCTATGCGAGGGCACTGTCCAGAAGTAACTCCTCTCCTTTGAGGTGGTCTCTTCATGTCCTTTCCTCATCTCTCCTCAGCCTAGTGCTGCTGGAAGCCAGCTGGGAAGCAGTGCTGGATCTGTCTGGCTTGCTGGATTTCTGGTTGCAGTACACATTCACGTGTGGCAGAATTGAAGATTACTTTTTAATGGAAGTTTCTGGCCCTTGTGCTTCTGAAGATAAATGTCCAGACATGAACCAATGCAGAAATTCCTGAGTCTGCAGCCAGCCTGAAACAGTAGCTGGGGGAAGTAACTCTCCCACCACCCCTTTCAGTCTCATTGGGTGTTAGCTCAGGCTGATACATTGGTAAGCAGCACTGATTTTATTACAGATCCTCTACCCAAAGGAATGGATCGGGCAGGGGTAGGCAACCTATGGCACGCGTGCCAAGGGCAGCATGCGAGCTGATTTTCAGTGACGCTCACACTGCCCGGGTCCTGGCCACCGGTCCGGGGGGCTCTGCATTTTAATTTAATTTTAAATGAAGCTTCTTAAACATTTTGAAAAACCTTATTTACTTTACATACAACAATAGTTTAGTTATATATTATAGACTTTTAGAAAGAGACCTTCTTAAAACATTAAAATGTATTACTGGCACGCAAAACCTTAAATTAGAGTGAATAAATGAAGACTTGGCACACCACTTCTGAAAGGCTGCTGACCCCTGGGACGGGCTGGACTGTGCCACTCCTCTTTGTGCCCACAGGGGGCAGTGAGCCCTCAGCAGAGGGGCAGGCTCAGCTGGGAGGAAAGTGTGATCCTAGAGCAGTGGTTCTCAAACTTTTGTACGGGTGACCCCTTTCATACAGCAAGCCTCTGAGTGTGACACCCCTCCCACCCCCTTCTATTGTAAAGTGTTTTTAATTTATATTTAACACCATTAGAAATGCTGGGAGGCAAAGCGGGGTTTGAGGTGGAGGCTAACAGCTTGTGACCCTCCGCCCTAATAACCTCTCAACCCCCTGAGGGGTCCAAACCCCGAGTTTGAGAACCCCTGTCCTAGAGCAATGGGCTTGGTGTCAATACCTATGCAGGCTGGTTAGTGCCTCATACGAGAGCCCTCCCTGTGCCCATGGGCTTCAGTCCCCAAGAGCCAGCACTGGAGGGCTGGGATGGAAATGGTTCTGAAATCTGAACATAATAGTTTGGTATTTAGGGGAAATTGGTGACGAGCTTCAGCCCAGCTGATTGGCTTGTCTCAGTGAGGTTCTCAAGGTGCTCTTAGCCATGCAAAAGGTTAGAATCTGTGTGAAGGCTGTGCTTTGCCTCTACAATTCTGGACTCGCAGACTAGGTGGTGGGGATAGCATGGGCATGGCCCACCATAAAGGTCTGAGATCAGCCAAACCTACTGCGGTAGCACCCTGGATTTTTGAGACTACCAGCCGTGCAAGCCCTGAGAAGGGTGTGTGGGGTCAGACGTTTCCTCAGTCTCCAAAGGGTTCAAGGGAATGAAAGAGGTATGGACTCATTTCAGCCCTCTCCCCTGGCTGGGGGTGTAGTGAATTATCTCTTTTTTTTTTGTCTTTGCTTTTTTTGTCTCCAAATACCTGGACTCAGATCTCATCTCTAATACCAGCAGAATGAATCTCACCTGGCTCCCAAAGCCACCTCTCTGATTTGGCGCCATGTGGACTGGAATGGAAGGGGCTGTGGGTCGGGATTGAGGGGCATTGGCAGGTCTGCTTGCATAATTTGCCTGCCCCAGTTTATCAGTTCTTCTGCCATCCCAGCTGTATGATCCCATAACCTTCTTATTTTTCAGAGGAACAGCCGTGTTAGTCTGTATTCGCAAAAAGAAAAGGAGTACTTGTGGCACCTTAGAGACTAACCAATTTATTTGAGCATGAGCTTTCGTGAGCTACAGCTCACTTCATCAGATGTATTCCACGGTATACATCTGATGAAGTGAGCTGTAGCTCACGAAAGCTTATGCTCAAATAAATTGGTTAGTCTCTAAGGTGCCACAAGTACTCCTTTTCTTCTTATTTTTGGAAGTGTCGGGGGTTGCCAGCAGAGTCCAGATTTGTGACCCTTCAGGCACCCTGCCAGCCCAGCCTCTGCTCTTTCCCTAAGGCTGTTGGGTGGTGGGGGGGAGGGTACGTAGATTTGTGTTGTGTGTGGAGGGGCTGGTGATGGTGTGTGTTAGTGCTCTAAGGGCCTGACTTTAGGTTGCAGGTGGTTGGATTGTCCCTGGAGGCATCCAGAGGGGCAGCTACCCTGCTCTGGAGTACGGCGGAGTTGACAGACTGGTTGGCATTGCAGTGTCCTCCTTATCTAGTGCAGGCTGGTGTAGCCAGAGAACCGGTGGGCGGCCAGCAGAGTGCCTGGTTGGAGACCCAGCTGTGCCCTCTGGGGACTTGCCAGAGCTGTTCACTTGGCTCAGTCCACAGACAGCTTATGGCTGAGCTCCTACTCAAGGGCGAGGGGTTGGCGGCTCTTGTGAAGGGGGGAGGGGAGGGGTGTGTATGGCAGGCTCCTCCCACAATGTTGGCTGTCGACTGAGTGTTTCCTGGGCATGGAGCCCACGTGTTGGCTCCATTCCCTTTGTTGGGCTGCTGTGACCTGTCCCCTTCAGGGAGCTCCTCCCGCTTCCTGTGCCCTGGAGCTCGTGGGCACTGGATTCACCTGTGCTGGAGGCATTGCTGGGCAGCTTCCATACTCAATGGCATCTTTCTCTCCCCAGCTCCTGCCGGCACACGGTCCCCCAGCACCCACCCATCATCCCACTGTGATTGTACCAGCACCACCTCCTTCCCATCACGTCACCGTGGTAACCATGGGCCCATCCTCTGTAATCAACACAGTCTCTACGTCCAGGCAAAACCTGGACACCATTGTTCAGGTACGGGAGCAAATCTGGGAGGGAGGGAGAACTGGAGTATCTGTCAGAAGGGGAGTAGAACTGAGTAGGAAGAACTGGAGGTATCTGTCAGAAGGGGAGAATTCAGGACAGGGCACCTTCCAAGGCCAGGATTGTTCTTGGTGGGGAGAATTTGGGGGCCCCTGGGGGAATGTCTGGGCTTCTCCCCATAACCCCAACACTGAGTGAACCTCAGTGGTGCTTGTGGCTGAGACTCCCATGGGCTCAGGCTTGGAGATGGGGTTGCTTAGGAGAGAGCCGTCTGAACAGTGTCAGACCTTGCTGTTCCCACCCCGGATGTGTGGGCAGCATCCCACCTGTACTGGGCCCTGGGAGAGCAGTGACGCTTCCAGGAGAGAAGCAGCACTTCTAGTTCTCTTCTAGGCTGTCTCGGGAGGTCTGCCCTGCAATCGGAGGCATGATTGCTGCAGGTGGAGGTATACCTGACCGCTTTAATCCAGCTGGCTCAAGCAGCATGGGCTTCAGCCCGGATTAGCTGCTAAAGTACGGTCCGTGCCACTGCAGCTTCCCTGCTCCAGTAATCGAGTGAGCTAGATCAAAGGTAGCTTGGGTACGTGTGCACGAGCTGCGGTCACACCACATGGGTCTGCAAACCCAGCTGTGTCCGGTGAGCAGCCAGTGTGATGCTGAGTGCTGGGGGGTAGCCAAGGGCTGCTGTGCACTGTGCAGGCTGGATATCCCAGCCGCTCCCCAGCTTGGTTCAGTTTTGCAGGGGAGGTTGGAACCAGACTGTGGTGGCGTGTCTGACTCAGGATGCAGTATGTCTCCATCCAAGGTGCCCAAGGATGGGGCTAGGTCATTGGCGCTGCAAAGCAGAGTAGTGGCTAACTTTGTTGGAGACCCAGCCCAGAACTAGCAGGGGAGGAGAGTGATAGCAGCCTTTCTGGAGGAGACCCCTCTGGAGAACACGGGCACCAGGGGATAAACAGGCATAACTGGGTCGGTTCTTCTCCTGATGCTCTCCTCCCTGCCTCCCCCAGGGATGTAAGCCCCTGTGGCCAGGGTTCCCTCTCCACTCCCCTCACTGTTCCTTCCCCTTGACAGGCAATTCAGCACATTGAAGGGACACAGGAAAAGCAGCTGCAGGAGGAGGAGCAGAGGCGTGCGGTCATCGTGACACCTGTCCGGCGTGCCTGGAGCCCTCCAATTCCGACACTGCCTCCGACACAGAGGGGGACGACAGTGACTCCATGGATCAGAGCAAGGAAGATCCCTCAGGGGAGGGGGAGCTGCCCTGACACCCCCCCAGCCAGCAGCAGGGAAAGGGGTGGGACTGGGGGAGGGGAATGTCAGAGAATATGCTGAAATTTTTAAAAAATACAATGCGATTTGGGTCTCTTTTATGACCTTTTTCAATACTGTAAATCGGAGTGCTAGAACCAGACACGCTGAAAGTTCATGCTGCGGTTGAAAGCAAACCAGGGGGCGGGAGGGGGTGCTGTGTCAGTGAACCAGCACTGGGGGAGGGTGGGGGGCTGTTTTTAACTAGAGATGGGCCAAAACTGGAACCCAGGATCTGAACTCAGATGAACTGTTTGGGGGTTCGGGTAACTGGGACCTGGAACCAAATCGCCTGTGGTTTTGTAAAACTCAAACCCAACTTACAGTAATCTTGCAAAAGTTGTCCCGGCTTTATCCAGCACTGGTGCGATGGATGGCGTGGCTGGTGCACGGGCGCTAGGCTGTTCATGGGCCTGCCTGAGTTCTTGTTTCTTGTTTGTTGGTAGTTTCTCTATTTTAAAAAAGGGGGGGAAAAAATAAAAATTAAAGGGACACCATCAACTGAAGTCCCATGGCACAGAACAAGTTGCCTACTCTCAAGCCGACTAGTGGAGAATAGAGAGGAATGTGTTGAGGTTACTTGGCGCATTTGGCGATGCTCTGTGTGTGGTCAGTTTCACTACTTCTCCTGCACCACTGGGCACTTCCCCTGAAAGAACCCACACATATGGCAACAGGGGCGAGAAAACACTTTCTAAAACAGGAAGATGGGATTGTAAGGCCACTGGAAGCATTTGGGGGGTGGGGGAGCAGGTGTAGTACTTGAAAGGACTCTGAACTCGCTTAAAAATTGACTAGATTTCAGTTTGGTGGTGTTGCTTTAGATTTAAAAAAAAAAAAAAAAAAGAAAATCCCAACCTTACAAACCCACATCATTTCCAGCCCCGATGGCAGGAGATGCTCAACAAGACGATATCAACTTCATGTTCTTTATTTTTCCTTTGTTTCCTCCTAAAGCACTTAATCCATTTTGTGGGGTCTGCCCGGTCAGAAGAGCTGTTCTGTTCTGTGATTGTCGCTTCTGTTTCTTTTTTTCTGTTGTGTTTTGGTTTCCTTTCTCCCCTCCCCGCCCCCTTCCTGTTTGGCTGTAGGTTTAGGCCAGTGTTGTGTAGAGCCTTGTGGGTATTTGGTAGGTTCCTCCCCGGCCACAACTGTTTCTCTGTTTTTCTTTCATTTTTTGTATTTTTTTTTTTACGATTTTCAGGTCTTTGTGTTCATCGAGAAGCTATTATATTTTGTTAAGAAAGTGAAAAAAAAAAGGCTTGTGCCTTTGTAAAGAAACAAAATAAAGTTTGTACTTTGTTTTTTAGAATCTCTGCCTAGTGTAAAATCTGTGGGCTATGCATGAGCTATGTAAGCACAGGTGAGGGACGGCTCTGCCTCCCAGAGCAGGCTCCAGTCCTGCAGCTGGTGCCGAGAACTCCATGGCATCTTCTACACCACGTGTCCCATCGCCGGCCCAGGAACTGCATCTGGCCACCTGCCCGCTCGTTCAACCTCTGCAGAATTTTGACTTCCACTTGCCTTGAGCCTCTAGCCTGAACGGCTGTGAAGAAAACCTTTTGAAATGGGAATCAGCTAACCTGATAGTATTGTTACCTGAGTCTGCAGCAAGCTTGAAACCCTGGCTCCAGGAGGTGTGAACTCCCCCTCCACTTATAAGCCAAAGGGCGTGTTAATGCTAAAGCGCACTCCTTTTCTGTGCCAGTGGTAACTATTGGGCTGCTGATCACTCATGCGGGTGAGATGAGATGGGTTAAGAATGAAATGCAGAGGGAGGAGAGGATGAGGAATGGAGAGAAACTGAGGGGAAAACGAATGCAGACCGAGTAATGTGGTGGTGAAGTACTCCCCAGATAGGTCCAACTCCTTAGCTGCTGTAAATCAGCATCATTCTATTGACTTCCATGGGGCTACACCAGTTTAAACCTACTGAGGAATTGGCCTGGGATACCTGACGGCTAATCTTCGTTATCTCACAGAGGCCGTGATATTCTACCCCTTAATTTTGTGCCAGCTCCTGCTGCCGTCGGGAACTCTGCTGTGGGTAGATGATAGGATCTGTCGTAAACTTCCTCCTCTCCTGCTCAGGGTTGTGAATCTGAGGCACTCCCTTGGCCTTGCCTTCACGCTAAGATTTTCAAAAATAGCTGCCTCAAGTGAGTGAGCTGCCTGATCCAAGAGCCCTGTGCATCTGCACCTCCCTTTCCTGCCCCTGAGCTGCTGGGTGCTCAGCACTCATGGACATTCAGCTCCTCTGTGAGCCTAACTTCTTGAAGATCTCTGTGTCACTCAGGCTTTCTGTGTGGGGTGGCAGATGGGCACAGCCATGTGATTGCTGCTCCTGTGCGTGCTCCCACACTCGCTCTTGCAGCTATAGCCCTGACTTTGCCATCCTGTTACTGGATCCTTGGGGGACACCCAAATAAGCTGCATTTTGAAATGCATTACAGCCCCCTCTCCCCAGCAAAGGTTTATGTGAAATGAGTAAGGGTTACAAATCATTCAATCAAAGAACCTCCTCTGTCTTCAGGTTTTGCACAGCTGCACATCACTGTAGCATTGGTGCACCTACTGGACACAATAGATAAGCAATAGCAAAGTCCCTAGTGAACTCTCTGGCTCTTTGCCCCCTGTGGGGGTTAGTGGAAGCCCTGCTTGGGATATGCTCTCAGTTTTTGATGGGAAGGAGGGGATGCAGTGGTTAGGGTGACAGAGGAAGTTTTCAAGTGACCAGCCACCACACTCACCTTGTCTTCGGAAGTTCTTTCTGCCGGATGCCCTTGACTGAGAATGCTTTGACTGCCTTTTGCATAGTTCGATCTGTATTACCCCAGCCTCTAAGTCTCCTGCTTCCATGGCCCCTTGGTTCGGGTAGGGCCCAGCACTGGGGTGCTGTAGAAATCCAGCGACCTGGCAGCAGCAACCAGATCAATGTGGTGACTTAGCCCTGGTCTACACTACAAGTTTAGGTTGAATTTAGCAGCCTTAGATAGATTTAACCCTGCACCTATCCACACAACGAAGCCATTTTTGTCAACTTAATGGGCTCTTAAAATCTATTTCTGTACTTCTCCCTGACCAGGGGATTAGCACTGAAATAGACATCGCCGAGTCGAATTTGGGGTAGTGTGGAAGCAATTCGACAGTATTGGCCTCCAGGAGCTATCCCAGTGCTCCAGTGTGACCACTCTGGACAGCACTCTCCATTCCGATGCACTGGCCAGGTAGACAGGAAAACCCCCGTGAACTTTTGAATTTCATTTTCTGTTTGGCCACCGTGGCAAGCTGATCAGCACAGCTAACCATGCAGATCTCATCAGCAGAGGTGACCATGGAGTCCCAGAATCGCAAAAGTGCTCCAACGTGGACGGAACGGGAGGTACTGGATCTGATTGCTGTATGGGGAGACAAATCCGTGCTATCAGAACTCAGTTCCAAAAGACGAAATGCCACAATATTTGAAAAAATCTCCAAGGGCATGAAGGACAGAGACTATAACAGGGACCCACAGCAGTGCCGTGTGAAACTTAAGGAGCTCAGGCAAGCCTACCAAAAAATCAGAGGCAAATGCCCGCTCGGGGTCAGAGCCCCAGATATGCCGCTTCTATGATGAGCTGAATGCAATCCTAGGGGGTGCCCCTACAACTACCCCACACCTGTACGTGGACTCCTGCAAGGGAGTCTTACGCAACAGGGATGATGATTTTGGGGACGAGGAAGATGATAGTGCACACACCAGGCAAGCGGAGAAACTGTTCTCCCCGACAGCCAGGAACTGTTTATCACCCTGGAGCCAATACCCTCCCAAGCCGGGCTCCTGGACCTTGAAGGCAGAGAAGGCACTTCTGGTGAGTGTACCTTTGTAAATATAATACATGGTTTAAAAGCAAGCAGGTTTAATTATTAATTTGTCCTGAAGACTTGGGATGCATTTGTGGCCAGTATAGTCTGTTAACATGTCTGGGGATGGAGTGGAAATCCTCCAGGGACATCTCAATGAAGCTCTCCTGGAGGTTACTCCCAAAGCCTTTGCAAAAGGTTTCTGGGGAGGGCAGCTTAATTGCATCCTCCATGGTAGGACACTTTACCACACCAGGCCAGTAGCACGTAGTCTGGAATCCTTGCATAAGAAAGCATGGCCACATGTGGTCTGGTGTTTGCTGGCATTCAGGCAACATCCGTTCTTTATCTCTGTGTTATCCTCAGGAGAGTGATATATCATTCATGGTCACCTGGTTGAAATAGGGGAATTTTATTAAGGGGACATTCAGAGGTGGCCATTCCTGCTGGGCTGTTTGCCTGTGGCCACGCGGTGTGGGGAGGGGTGAAGCGATCATCCCAGAGAATTGAGTGTGTGTGGGGGGTGAGTTTAGTTGGGTTTGTGCTGCATGTTAACCCGAAAACATCGGCCCCTCCTTTTAAATGGCCAATGTCTTTTTCAGTTTTACTCTCCCTTTTTTCCTCCCACAGCTGCAAATGTTTCAACGCTGCCACTAGCATCTCTGTCCCAGAGGCTAGCGCAGATTAGAAGGTGAAAAAAATGCACTCGTGATGAAATGTTCTCTGAGCTCATGCAGTTCACCCGCACTGAAAGAGCCCAGCAGAATGCATGGAGGCAGACAATGGCAGAGTCCAGGAAAGCACAAAATGAATGCAAGGACAGGAGGGACGCACAAGAGGATAGATAGCTGGAGCAACAGGAGAGGTGACGGCAGCGTGATGAGAGGCGGCAGGATGCAATGCTGAGGCTACTGGAGGATCAAACTGATATGCTCCGGCGTATCGTTGAGCTGCAGGAAAGGCACAGACTGCCACTGTAGCCCCTGTGTAATCAACTGCCCTCCTCCCCAAGTTCCATAGCCTCCTCACCCAGATGCCCAAGAACATGGGGACGGGGGGGACGACGCTCTGGGCACCCAACCACTCCACCCCAGAGGACTGCCCAAGCAACAGAAGGCTGGCATTCAATAAGTTTTGAAGTGCAGTGTGGCCTTGTCCTTCCCTCCTCCCCACCTTCCCCACCTCACCCAGTGCTTCCCTTCTCCCCCGCCCCTCCCAGGCTACCTTGGCAGTTATCCTCCTATTTGTGTGATGAATTAATAAAGAATGCATGAATTTGAAACAACAATGACTTTATTGCCTCTGCAAGCGGTGATCGAAGGGGGAAGGGGAGGGCGGTTGGCTTACAGGGAAGTAGAGTGAACCAAGGGGGCGGGTTTTCATCAAGGAGAAACAAACAGAACTGTCACACCGTAGCCTGGTCAGCCATGAAAGTGGTTTTCAGAGCTTCTCTGATGCGCAGAGCGCCCTGCTGTGCTCTTCTAACCACCCTGGTGTCTGGCTGCGTGTAATCAGTGGCCAGGCGATTTGCCTCAACTTCCCATCCTGCCATAAATGTCTCTCCCTTACTCTCACAGATATTGTGGAGCACACAGCAAGCAGCAATAACAATGGGAATATTGGTTTTTCTGTGGTCTAACAGAGTCAGTAAACTGCACCAGCACACTTTTAAATATCCAAATGCACATTCTACCACCATTCTGCACTTGCTCAGCCTATAGTTGAACAGCTCCTGACTACTGTCCAGGCTGCCTGTGTATGGCTTCATGAGCCATGGCATTAATGGGTAGGCAGGGTCCCCAAGGATAGCTATAGGCATTTCAACATCCCCAACGGTTATTTTCTGGTCTGGAAAGTAAGTCCCTTGCTGCAGCTTTTCAGACAGACCAGAGTTCCTGAAGATGCGAGCGTCATGCACCTTTCCCGGCCATCCCACATTGGTGTTGGTGAAACATCCCTTGTGATCCACCAGTGCTTGCAGCACCATTGAAAAGTACCACTTGCGGTTTATGTACTGGCTGCCTTGGTGCTCCAGTTCCAAGATAGGGATATGCGTTCCCACAGTTAGGGAATCCCATTGCAGCAAAGCCATCCACAATGGTCTGCACGTTTCCCAAAGTCACTACCCTTGATAGCAGCTGGTCAATGATGGCTACTTGGTCACAGCAGCCCCCACAGTAGATTTGCCCACTTCAAATTGATTCCTGACTGACCAGTAGCTGTCTGGTGTTGCAAGCTTCCAGAGGGCTATCACCACTCGCTTGTGAACTGTGAGGGCTGCTCTCACCTTGGTATTCCTGTGTTTCAGGGCAGGGGAAAGCAAGTCACAAAGTTCCAGGAAAGAGCCCTTACGCATATGAAAGTTTCACAGCCACTGGGAATCATCCCAGACCTGCAACACTACGCTCCAGTCTGTGCTTGTTTCCCGGGTTCAGAATCAGCATTCCATGGCATGAGGAGGGCCACTGC